AGGGAGCAGGGGGTGGTCGAATAGGAAGAAAGCGGGTCGGGAGCTTCGAGCGGCTTCGTGCAGAGGAGAGGCGAGCGAGGTTATTCAGTCGAGCGAAGGAGGTGGGATCAAACGCAAGAAAGCCGAGCAGGAGACGCGAGCTGACCTGTCTCGAGCACGAGGCAAGGAAAGATAGACGGATTCTCGGTGCGGGGAGGAGCGAACGAGGAGTTTTCGGTGCAGAGCGGAAGAAGAGAGGAGCCAGACAGGAGAGACTGTCGAGCGAAGGTAAATGAGCAGGAGCTCGGGAGAGGCCAAGGAGGAAGATCCCGGAGGAAGAAGCGATCCTTCCTTTTAGAATTGGAGCGGGGGAGCCATTACTTCAAAGCTTTGGCGGGGAATTGAATACCTTCTTTTCAGGCTGCGAACTTAATTCAAAAGCTTTATGGAGGGATTAAATGATAAATTTGAAATTTAAAATTTGAATTTTGAAATTTGAAATTTTTGAGCTGAAGTAATTAGCCCGTGCTTAGCCCATGTCCAGCCTGAATCGAACCCGAGTTGAGCCCGGACCCGTGCCCTGCTAACGTGCATCGATTTTCGTGTTAGTCGCTCGCGCTTGAAACCATAGCAATATGGGTGTCCTTCCTAGCTAAAGTCGACGTCATGGATGCATCTGTGCGGTCCGTTTCGTCATCCGGGGTCATCCAGATGAGTTCGCCGACGGGCGAGTCGATTCAAGTCAAAGTCGTGTGTGGTGCAGTGAGTGTGTGAATTGCGGCGTTCACGAGTAATCGAGTCACAAAAGGTTCACCTAAGGTTGTTTGATCCTATAGGAACTCATTTTCGGGCCCTCTACATGTTGGCCCTTAGCCCTTGCAACTAGAAGTTGAGTGCTTGGAACCACTCATGCGAGTTCTTCACAAAAATGAGTCAAGAAGTGGCTTGAAGTTTTAAGGGAGGTGGGCTCTATTACTAGTCCGCTAAGATGGTCAATAAGAACTCCTAAAGCTAGATCCTAGGTTCTAAGAGTAGGAGACTAAGACCTCACTAAAAATGAGGTCAACAAGTACTAGGATTTTTAATTAGTACAAGGAAGTTGATGTAGAACATCATACAAAAAATTATTATGACCTTACCATTAGAGTAAGATCATGTACACAAAAGGACAATGAGAGAACCATCACAAAATCAAAATCATGGGTCAAGAGAGATTCCTCCAACATAAAAAATTGAAGAAATTTATATATGAAAAGTTTACATTTGGAATGCCTATATATAAAAGGTTTTTGGAAAGACAAACCTTGATCTCGATGTGAGAGGCTTTAATTTATTTATCTCCCCTTATTTAGATTGCAATATCCTCCTTTTAAGGTTTTAGAGCCACCCCTTAATTTAAGGAGTGAAATGAGAGTGATTTCACTTCCATATTTGCTTCTTTCCTTTCATACCTTTTCTTTATTTTCATCTCTTTACTAAAAATCTAATGTAATTTTTTTTAAATGTTGCTTTAAAGAAAATAATTTTACCTTTATATTAATAAATATGAAAATCAAAATTTCCAATTTTTGTGATGGCCGACCTCTTTGGGCCCTTTTCAGTAAAAAATATAGGAATCTCCCTTTTATGAGTTGCTAATCTCTCTCCTATCTTATAACTTTCCCAAAATCCCAAGCCTATTTCTATAGATTTGCCCCACTCTAGCACTAAGAGAAAATTTCACTAAACCTTTAGCAAGCGGTTGGCCAAAGGCCAAAATATGGGTTTTGGCCAACCTTGAACTAATTTGCCACTCCAGCTTTCACTAACCTCCAAACTCTTCGTATCCCAACCAACAACTCCAAATCAAATCTTCACAAATCCTTCTTACTTTATCATGGCTCTCTATTACCCTAAGACACCATTAAACAAATCAACCAAATATATCTTTCTAACATAGTCAAAACCAATACACACCAGGCACGTTGACCTAGTCATGATGCGGAGTCCACCAAATAACCTTCAACTTATTGGATTTTCTCAAAAAACTCTAGATCACATCTCTAAATCTTCTCCCACAACTTCCAAGAGTGTTAATGCCCTAAAACCATCTCCATGCCATGGTATAAAAGTTAAAATCGTAAAGGGTAATCCCAGAGCTAGTTTGACCTATACTGTAAGCTCACCATTTTTTGCTTGCCTTATATTCACATAGAATTGCCCCAATTACCAAAGCTCTTAAAAATGCCCTTAGTCACTCACAACAACAATTAGAAGCCTTGGATCCACAACTATAAGGCTGAGTCACTAAAGGGGAGCTAGAAATAGAATTAGCAAAGATTGACTCATCAGTGATATGAGATGGCAAATGTAGTATCAGGCATTCAAAACAAACCTTTAATTATTGCTGAACATGGTACTTTAAGAAAACAACTAATTAAAGTATTAGAACCTTCATCCTCGAATGAAAACCAATATAAGAGATTAAGGAAGTTTTTGACCGAATATTTCAATTTTGGTTGCTCAATCTAAAGTATTTTCTTTCTTTACAAATACTTACTAACTCTCAAACAAGTAAGGTACTACATTATTGGCCAACTATTGCACACTTGATCTTGAACTACTTCAAATCATTTTGTTGCTTTATAATGCTAGTCACCAAGCTGATAAGAACCATATCAATGAAAGGGAAAATAAGGCTCCAATCACCACGTGATTAATAGCTCTCTAGAACAAGGGAGAAATTAAACTACACAAAACTAAACCAATGCAAGACAAAAAATTCCAAGGGAGAAAATAGTATTCATCAATCATCAAACCCAATGTGGTCCCTAAAAAAAATAATAATCTAATGTGGTACCCATGGGATGCTATAGAAATAAAACGAGATCTCAAAAGTCTACAGCATTTGAAGATGTAATGTTCCTCTTGCAGTGATAAGATTAAATTTTTGCAAATTGGTATTTTGAATTTTACTTGGTAATAACTTTAGTTGAGTCAGTGGAAGTTACTATTTAATCTCTATGATGGCATACTATTGTCAAGGTGTTTATCGTCCTAATTTTGGATGTTTAGATTTCTATTGTTATAACGCTAGTTCAACGATTCTACCTTGAGTTTCCTTTAACGGTTCCATTGCAAGACTACAACAAAAATAATTCTCTTACAATGGAAGACTTTGGAACTAACGAGCCATCTTATCAGCTGTTCCAATGGTAGACCCTAATGCTAGCATGGCGCTTTAAGGAATTCTCAATTGCACTACAACTGTAGTTGATGCTTCTATTCAATGATTCCTCTGGTTACCCCTTTCCTGATTGGTATTGGGATATTTAATTTAATTCTATGCGGGGAATATAAAAATATGGCTTGGGGTATGTAAACAAAAGGTTAAATATTTTTTTTCTTTAGAAGTACAAATCGTTCTTTCATTATTGAACTACTAAGTGTGAATTAATATTCTAGAAAAGGTTATCTGCATTTATAAAGCAAAAGTTTTATAATTCTAGAACATGCAAAGTTGAATGTTAACCAGAGACTTCAAGAATATTAGAGTTAGGAAAATTAAACGACCATAGAAGGTAAAGGTTAACGTAATGTATGCCATAATAGTTGTCAAATGAATTAGATAGAAAAATTTGTAAGTACAAATTGAAACATCTAAATTTGATGATAGAATGGTCATAAAATTTATCTTTTTTTTTTCCTGATTGGGTCAAATTAAAGGATAATTTAACTATTGAGTCTCAAAAAAGATTTACCAAGGAGTTGTTTATTTGCAAGTAATTGGAATTTAAGATTATTTTAAATGCAATGTAAAATAAAAGCATTTATTAATAGTACTTTGTCGGTGTTTGTAGTTTGTAGGAAAATTTTGGGGTTTATTTTTGTGCCTGTTTGTTCGCAAAGTATTCAAATATTGCGGCGATAGCAGGCTAATTTTTGCATTTTCAATGCAATTAGGATACTTCCAGAAATAGCAAATGTTAAATATATTGAAAATCAACGAATCATGGAATTCTAAATACCTTAAAAGCTTTCAATCATATTTCTTCAAACCGAACACAGAAAAATGCAAAACCCTTATGACTTACTTTGCACAAAAAATATACTTGTAACCAAACGGCCCCACAGTTAAATTTAATAGGGAAAGCTAAAATATGTAAATAATAATTATATTTGAATAAAAAACTTTACTTTGTTTTATTTATTTATTTATTTATTTATTTTTGATATTTCAGGATTACTAGTAAAAGAAAACTTTGTTGATTGCAATAAAGTAAAGCTAATTAATTAATGCTTAAAACCTACTAATATTAATGATACTGAAAGTTTTCATTATTTAACTGCCTTTTATTTCTGGTACAATGATGTCAGACATTGCTGACTGTTTCAAAAAAGAGATAATTTTAGCAGATGAGATATATTGTTTGTGTATCAAAACATATCAAAGAAATACGTGCAAATACTCATGCATAAATTGCTAGATTTTTATTAAACGTTAAGTTTTCTTGTGATGCTTCAAGAGCAAGTACTAATATATTTTAAGTCAAGAATAGTTTTGAATTGCTTATGTTAAAGAGAAACTGAATGAGTGATAAAAAAAATTCTAACGATGATCTCAAATTATTTAAAGTACATGTTCTTAGATATTGGAGACTCAAATATTGAAATTGACACAATTATTTACAAAAGTACTCAATCAACACTTTATAATATAAAAAGGTTTTTCAGTATTATGAGCAATTGACACTCAAATATTTAAATTCCAAACAAAAACCAAGACAACATGCTAAATAGGGCTACAAAATACTTTACGAAGGTGCGTTAAGTTAAAATTTTTTTTAAAAATTGTTGATGCATTAAGAGGGGTATGTTTTTTGTCTTATTTACATATTAAATTTCTAAAAACACATAGCTTCGATAAGTACGAAAACGAACAAATGTTCCTTCAGTCTAAAAAGCAAAATCCCATTCCAGAAAAAAACATATAAACAGTTAAGAAAATGCATAAAGAAATGCAAACTCGTTAACAAGCAAACCTATACTCAGGTGCTGAAGCTTGATTTGACCTATGAGTCCTCCCAAATTGTTGAATTGCACGGTCAGCACTCCAAGGAAGCTCAAGCGTTAAATGAACTCTTCTTCTCTGACAATAATACCCTAACATTAGAATGCAAGCGATATTCAATCAAATTGAAGATGGGAAAAGATTACAAGTCAAAGATACACAACCTGATTTAATGCCCTTTTATCTGCTTGCAGAGAAACACCAGCTGAACCAGCTTCAGATATGATAGCAACTAACTTTTCACCATCCATAAATAATTTCTTTTCATGCATATTTACCATTTCTAATGCTACTTCCTTCCTGCAATGGAAAAAATAGTATTTGGCCTACTCGAAAACAAAGTTGAAATGAAAAAACAAAAACACTCACATCAATCCTTACGTGTTTCGTGCCTGGTAAACAACACCTTTTCCACCAGATGCTCGCACAAGCATGCCCTTTCTGCCAGTTATCTCTGCAACATTTTGAGGGCCTCCAAGCTAGAAATGGAGAAAACACAACTGATTTATGTAATCACTCAAAAGATTTAACAATTTAAATATTAAATTTATAATTAATTAAACTTAGTATGATAAAATTTAAGACTTAATTAAGCCGTCAAGATCTACTTTATCTAAAAGATTAATTGCTCAAAATTGATTAATTTTTGAATGAATAATATAATTTAATTTGATAGATATAATCCTAATTTAATAGTACGATATTAAAATGTATTTTAATTAAGAAAGAATTAGATGGTCACACTTAAAGGTGCAGAGCCGACTGGAAGGGTGAGTGAGAGTTGGGTGGCAAGGAGATTGAAAGTAGGCCACCATGAGAGCACAATCGAGAGAGTGAGAAAGCAAGCCAAGGTATTGCAACCAAGCTCACACGAGGGATTCAACCACAAGAGGAGAAAAGCGAAGGAAACAATCAACCTCGCACTTGAATTTCGTTCAAGAAGGAGAAAGAGCTTTGACTTGAGGAAAGGAATACCCTAACTCGTGCATTATATTTAATTTTCATTTTATAGAAAAGAAGGTGATTTGAAAGATATTATGAAATTTATTTTTGGAGATTTACAAACAAAACACTTAATCCTTATGTAGTTACATATCTAACACCTAAACTTCAATTTTTACATATAAACCATCTTAAATGCATGAAAGTGTGTATTTCAGTTTTTAAAAGTTAAAAGAAAGATATTTTTGATGTGATATGCAAGATGTGAGTTGTATAAATGTAAAAGGTAAAGTTTAGGTATTAGATATGTATATACAAAGGAACTAGGTGGTATGTACGTAAATGCCCCTTTGTTTTAAAGGGATTAGATGAGAAATCTCCATTTGAAAAAAATCATAAGCCTTATATCATCATCTGCTTCTTCCTTAAATTAAATTTAGTAAGCACCAATTTTATTTCCCATAAAGCATTATTATTGTAGGATTTTTACCTCATATGGTCATGTAGAAATCGCCATTATTACATAAAGAAAAGAACAATCTGTGACGCTAAAAATTCTGTTTTTAATGATCTTTATAATAGATTAGATACTAAGGAGGGTGAAAAATATATGTATAAACTAGCCAAACAAAGAGAAAAGAAAAGTAAAGATTTAACTCAAGTAAAGTATATTAAAGAT